GTTGATAAATGCCATAGTATAGTGTGATAAAAGTTAATATAATAGTATGAAAGAAAAGGTCATAGTATAGTACGTTAAATAAATGTCATAGTTTAGTAGGTTAAATAAATGTCCCAGCATAGTATGAAAAAAAAAAGTTTAAGTATAGTATCATGTCACAGAATAGTATGTTAAAAAAAGTCATGATATTGTTAAACAAAATATGGTGCTGATTTTCTAGCCTATCTTGTACCCCACCAGGTGTGTCCTGAACAAATTTTAGCTACATCCCATCAATAAAGAAGGAGTTACAGGCCATTAACTGAAAAATGCAATCCCCTCTGCCACCAGGTGGCGTTTCAACCTATGGACGTAAGTTTGGTGTCAGATTGTCCTGTGCTGGACTGTTATCAAATGACTAAAATCTAGTGGAGGTGGAACCAGTGTACAAGAACACAAGACAAACTCCCTGAGCATGAAAACTGTAGGGTGCGCTACCAAGTCTTGTTTTATTTTCTTTCATATACATATTTATATAGGGGCACATTTAAATACGTGAATTTAAGCCAGGCCCGACCCGCCTGCCAAAAGTCTTGAGTTTTGAGTCTGTCTGTGGGGGTTTAATAATAATAATAATAATAATAATAATAATTCCTGCTATTTCAATAGGGCTCGGCTCGGGCCCTATATGGTCATCACAGAAGTTTCTATTTCTTCCATTAAAAAGGGAACAGAGCATCTTCAGTGATGACAGCTGAGAGGAGATTTATGAGGAAGTTAATCTGAAGAGGAAAACAGCAGAGGTTGTAAAGACAAAGCAGTGAATGAACGACTGACCATGTTTTAAAACATTTAAGACTGCCTTGTTGCTTCCAAACACCTGTCAGTGAGCTCTTTTGTGCCGCGCTGCACAGACCTGTTCCAAAAGTCATTTGCAAAATCTTTTCATACAGTTTGCATTAGCTTCTACTCGGCCCAGATGGGCGGGGTGTGTCACAAACAGCAGGACGACGTGCTTGTTGGCAGTAAGATTTTACAGTAAAACAAAAGCATTTAAAACTTAATGACTCATTAAAGTGATTGACATTTACGCTAACAATGTGAAAGGCCTTCCGATGCAGGCTCCACCCTGAAATATAAACGGTTCGATGCCGTGAGGTAAACAAGAGTCTAAATTTAGCTCATTGAGAATCACACCTCCTGAGCTCTCTGTCCTCCTGAAGAAAAAGAAACAAAAGAAAAAATGTGGAGCTGTGGTTCATTCACAAAAACAACTCAGATGGAGCCAACACTGGATTCCAGTTCATGGCTGCACCATGGATGCTCTACTGGTGACTGGACCAAACTTCACCTTTCTCCCTGTGATACCAGATCGTGAGCAGGAGACAGAATATGAATTTTCGGATGATTGTGTTCATGCAGCTAAAAAGTAGCCTCTCAGACTCAGGCAGCAGTAGACACAGTGAACCTTTACAGACTCTTATGCTATTTAAAGATGCATTCACCAGTTCTGCTGTTGCATGGATTGCAGGACTAGAAGAACTAACGTTTGCCACAGTGTCAACAGGCAAAGTTGAAATGTGCCAGACTCATTTGTGCATGACATGGTGTGTTTTCACCACATCGTCAAGCACCATTTATCTTCATATGACACAACACCAGAGAGAGGAAATATTAGGTAGAAGTTCAAATACTGCGGATAAAGGGACGGGGAAAACTTGGGAAAGGAGGAAGAAAAAGAAGTGGCGGAGATGAGGAGGGGCACAGGCGGGGGAGAGAGGGTGACAGCAGGGAGGTTGGGGGGTTAAAGAGTGGGAATATGAAATTTATTCTGCACTTTTCTTCAGTCGTGGAAGTCATCCAAGTCAACTTCCTTTCCTCGAGATAAGATCAGAGGAATGAAAGCTCCTGTGGGGGGTGGAGGGGGTTAATATGCTGGACTCAGAGTAACTCAGGCTCCAGCAGCAGCAACAGGTTTCTCTCTCTCTCTCTCTCTCTCTCTCTCTCTCTCTCTCGCCTTTTTTTTTTTTACCTTGTCCCGAGGCCCGGGGTGATCCACTGCTGAACAGAGCAGAAAACAGCTCCATGGCAACCGAGGGAGGCGTCTGTGTAACTGAGGCCTGAGGAGACTGAGGACAAGTTTGGTAATGCATGAATGAATAACATGATGGCTGCATGCAGAGGTGGTGTTCCTCGGAGAAAGACACGTTTCTGTGAGTTCATCGGTCCCATATAACAGCTGTATTTCATCTGTTCCCACTTCTCTTTCTCATGTTTGCATATTGTTGATTTCATTTAAGCTGTTCCACATTAAAGCTCCAGTGATGATATTTTAGCTGGTGGTCAGGCCCCCTGTGGTCAAAGCAGTCTTTGCTAATCTTGTCAGATATTTCTTAAGTGATGTCTTTGGACATAAATCTTACTTTGCTCACTTTTTACCACCCTTGCATCATTTATTGTTAATATTTTATGCTAAAAAATGTAAAATCTGTCTGTTTCTTTAGCTAACACGCTGACACCTACCACCTCACACTAATTTCAGGTAATAAAAACTATAGAATAAAATCATTTATGTTGTTACTAGTGGTCTTGTTTACATTTGTTTATCAAGAAAAGGGATAAATATAATTTTAAGCCGTTTTTTTTAATGAGGAAAAGCTCCTCATGGGAGCTTTGAACAGCAGGTGCTATACTAACTCACTGACAGTGCGCCGAAAATACACATAATTTCTATTTTTCCACAGTAAGTATTTACAGTGGGTTTTGCTTGATTGAAGTCAAACTAAATTTCAAGAAAAAATATTCAAAATTTAATTTTTAGACTAAAACGTCAAGGGAAGATACTGCAACTCCACTCTATAACTGTCTCCAGGTCAAAGGTGCTATCAGTTTTAACAGTTTCCATGTGATGGTGCTGCGTTTAGCTGTTCTAACTGAGACTTTAAATACATTAAATAGTATTTTTTAAATATTCATCTGATGGGAAAGAGAAGAACAGTAGGATAAAGTTGTTGATAAAGTCTTAAAACTAAAGACGAAACTTTGATAGAGTTCCCTGAAGTTCTCACATAGCTGGGTCTCAATCCATGAGCATGCTAGCCAATGAACAATAAGTTAATGTGAGTAAAGTCTGAAGTTGTAAAAAATTCACTTCATGTAGAGGAAAACTGCCTGACACACAGGCTGCAGTCTGCATATCAGCCATCAGCAGGTCACACCTCTAAGTGGGGGACTGCGAGCGGGACATGCAGAGAGAGTCTGTCCCCCCTGCAGGGACCCCAGAGACAGAACGGAAAGCATAAACACTCGCTGAGCCTCTGTGATGTTTTTCAAGTGCTTAACAGCTCAATCTCTCTTAAAATAATTACACCTGAAAGGCAGAGATCCATCACAACCGCCCGGTCTGGAAATTGCCCTCAGATGGGCACACACACACTCACAGAGGGGGGAGAGAGAGAGAGAGGAGAAACATTTGTGAGCCATTAGGACTCCCTTTTCTTCCTCCACTCTACTCCTTCCTGCTCTAACTTTTCTATCTCTGTGTAAACTTTTGGAGATGATGGTGACAGTGATGCAGAGTGTGATTGTTTGACTCCTTTATTTTATTTTAATTTCCACCCACCTGAAAAAAAGAAGAAAATCTTATATACCTGCTTTTGGCACAACATTGAAATAATCGGGTTTATTGGATCTTACATGCAAAATGTGAATGAAAGTATTAAAGTGTATAAAGGTGCATACACACTCTTAAAAATGTAGTGATAACATCCTAAAATAAGCATGTGATAAAACTTTGAGTACATATAGAGACTCTTTACATTACATTGGTGTAGTGATGGACACAGCAGTTCTTTTAGATGAACTGAATCACTAGAATCAGTTCACTAAAAAGATTCGTTCAAAAGTTTCGTTCATCGAATCGCCGAATCATTCAGTGCTTGGCGGGAGGAGCCTGTGACTCTGACCTCCTGAACTGATACACAGCTGAATGTTTCAGGATTCGGTTTAATTCATAGCTTCTGGGACCAGGAGATGAGAGTGTTTGGCTGTGTTGCTTTGGCAAACAGGTTTGTAAGAATGAACTCGTCTGTAAGTCCATCCATCCATCCTTTTTCTACCTCTTATTTCCGTTCCCGGGGTCGCTGGGGGGCTGGAGCCTATCCCAGCATCTTCGGGCGAAAGCAGGGGAGACCCTGGACAAGTCGCCAGTTCATCGCAGGGCTGACATACAGAGACGAACAACCATCCACGCTCACATTCACACCTACAGGCAATTTGAAAATGGCCAATTAATCTAACCCCACTTTTGCATGTTTTTGGGATGTGGGAGGAAACCGGAGTACCCGAAGTAAACCCACGCAGACACAGGGAGAACATGCAAACTCCACACAAATTCCCAGATACGAACCCAGGACCTTCTCGCTGTGAGGTGGCAGTGCTAACCACTACGCCACTGTGTCGCTCGCTTGTCTTTACGTCATGATGTTTTAAGTGTTGTGTGCTATAGTATGCTATTTATCAGGTCTGCTCAGTAAATTGGGCTCAGTGAGTGATTCATTTACCGTCCTGTTGTATGCAAGTTGTTGTGGTGGCAATTTAGCAGGAAAAATTTAAAAGTTAGTTTTGTCCTACAAAAATGATTCCAGAAAGTGTAGTTCAATGTGTGATTCGTTTACCAAGTGATTCACGTGTCATTGCATGCAATCCTTCGTTCGCCGGCTGCTTGCCTGGCAATGCTGTTTCCCACTTTAGCTCAACTGAAGTGAGAAATGAACGAATCACTCGAGGAAGTGATTTAGTTCAATACATTCACTTAAAAGATTGGGTTCTTTTGAACGAATCGTTCGCTAATGACACATTACATTGGTGGCATAAAGCAACGAAGAAGACATAGGCGAGTTTTGGAAGCAGCAGCTGCTGGCGAACTAGCTGTAGCATCCCTCTGTGAGATTGATTGTACTTTCAAACTTTTCTATTAACTGTTTTCATTCAGTTTCTTCACTTATGATCTACAGAGAGAAGCTTTCACTTCAAAATAAAAGCGTAAAATAGGTCAAACACAAGACTGAAAAAAAATAGATAAAAGCTCCAGGTCAAACTTTCAGATTAGCTTCATGTTTGTCTTTGTTTCATTGTGCACGTGCGTTATGTTTTACAGATTCAACATCTTACCAACCAAACTCACATGATTCCCCTCAAAATAAGTTGGAGTGCTGCTAAACTGTGCAGCAGAGGAACACTGAAATGATCATTAAAAGAAATCCTCCAGAGGCTAATTTACTGCAGGGATAGTATTTCCAGAAAGAGCGGCAATAGGCTAGAGTAATAAAATGCTTCTAAAAATATCATCCTGTAATCACATGAGCTGTAAGGTTTTCTAGGTCAAACCCTAATGCAGTAAAAATATCCTCCTCTGGAAACTAGCAGGATTAGATTAATAGTTTGCTAAAATAAAGCAGACTGTTTCACTCAGCCCTTTTTTGTGGTGACTGTTTAAGTAAAAGTGAATCATACCAGCGAACACTGGAGGTCTGAGCGTGTTACACTTCAGTCTGCTGTTGTTGTGAAGGCCTGCAATACAGAGCTAGTTAATGTTTACCCAGAAAATATGTAATTGCAGACTTCCCCCTAATAAACTGTTCCAGAATGCAGACCACAATCCTCCTCCTGTAACAGTATTATTATCTGCAGGCCTCGTGAACTGACTCCCTCTTTCTGCCTCTCTTCCTCTTACACACACACACACACGTTCACACTGTACACACAGGAACACGCATTTATACACACATTTTAAATATAGAGATGATCCAACCAAACTGAAGGCATGTTTAACCAGAGCGTGGTTAACCAGTCCGGCTTGATGCAAAGAAGTTTCTACATGAGGAATCTTCAGCCAGTGATACGGTCAAATTGTTGCAGCTGAAATGCTCTAAAAGATCTGGATTTAAAGCTCCTGTGAGGATGATGCCTTTTTATGATACACAGAAGCAAACAATACCATCATCAATGTCTATACTGCTGATTTTAAAGCCTGAAAAATGTGTAAGGGGGTAGATGTCAGGAGAGCAGCTGAAGAAACAAATGCATGTCTTTTTTTCGTTATCATATATTCACAAAAATTAGATATTTGACCATCTAAAGTCATGAACGTTCCTCATAGGACCTTTAAATTCAAGCTTGAGCACAGTAGAAACTACATTGATTATGTTTTTGGATTTAGTAGGTTGACCATACATCCTCTTTTACCCGGACATGTCCTCTTTTTGGGGAGCTGTCCGGCCTTGTCCGGGGAAGTTTATAAAATACTTCAAATGTCCGGTGTTTTTTATGGAAGTTTCGAGTTTGTGTCACGTGGACTTACTGAGTTAGAAGTGTGTAAAAGACACTCAATCCGACCTGAAAAACTTCCAAAATTAACCATGCGTGACTCTGTAGTCGTGTCCTCTTTTTGGGGATTCAGAATAGATTTAGTGTTTTCTAAATGGAAAGATAATCCGTGTTCATGTCAACTAACTTTTTATTTACCACTCACTGATGACTTTACACTCTCTTAATGTTAGCCAGCTTGATAAACCCACTGAAAAGCAAACAAAATACATAATTCTGTGACCAAAAACCCTGCAAAGATCTGATGGATCCGACAAGTGAGGCGAATCGGTATCACTGTTTGGTATCACTGTTTGTCTAAAAAGTAGCGCCACAGAAAGAACTATCATGTTTTAAACTCTGAACAGATTAATACTTGATACAAATTTATTTGCGCCAACTTAAGTGGATCTTTTAAACCTCAAATTTACTGTGTTTGTCTTTGCTGGTCAAAGCTGACAACCACAAGTTATTAAACATAAACTATCCAGCAAGTTAGAGCACGTTGCCACACAACTGAGACATATTTTCAGTACCTTTGACATCCAAGATGTTGGTTGCATTTTGTACACAAGAATTAAATGCAACGTGTTTAAATGGTATAACCCGGAAGATGGCAAACACAGTTTACTTCTGAGTCATATGGTTTGATTAAAAAGACTCCTTAATTTCAAACATCAAGTGACTTAAAAAGGAGTTCCTCATCTACAAAGGGTAGCTAGCAGGACTGCAAAGTCCCGATAGGCTTTAAACCAGCGACACAAAAACCACACATCACCGACTTTGTGAAACCCAAAGGAAATCGTCACATAAGAAGACAACTGAAACCATTTTTTAAAGATCTGTTCTTGAGCTTTTTGATAATATTCTGAGAAGTCAAGTCACCAGATGGAGCCTGAAATAGGAAGCGAGAGGGATGAGAGTGATCTGCAGTTTTATCTCTTTTATGCATGTAATCAAACAACCATCGCACCAACGTCTTTGAGATAATATTATTTTTTTCGTTTGTTGTCAGTTTGACTCTTGGTGGTTCGTGGTTTTGTTGAAGCTAAAGAAGGTTTTCTCAGGTTTCTGTCTTGACTGCCTGGAGAGAATCCCATTGTGCGAAAAGGAAAATACGATAATAAGCATTCTTTTCCTCACTCCTAAAACAACACGTCGTGCAGATATACGGGTTTTTCCATGACAGCAGTGATATTTCTTAAACACAGGCTTATGGTTTCTCCCGGCAGCTCCAGAAGAATGTTAATATCCAGGTCAGATAAAAAAGTAACTCCATGTTTCCGGCCACAGCTGTAATTTTTACGCCACAACGTAACGCTGGATGTCCCAGATGAGGCTGAGGTTGGCTGACGTCGCTTACATTCATGATTACAGTCTTTAACATGTCTTTAAAAGACCATTGAGGATGGAATTATTTTATGCTGGATTATTTTTACATTCTGCTCGGCCTTTTTGACATATTGGAACACATAGTGTTACTGGCTCCTTCATTTTCCTCTTATTTTCACAAAGTCTTATTGGTTTCTGCTCAGTTTTCACTGTAATAAGAGCCGGCATCTGCCTCCAAGTCTGCCCGGTTTAATACACAGGGACAAATTGCATTACCTCAAGACTGAGAACCGTGTAAACTGCCAAGATGGCCACCATGTCTTAACTGGGACTTTTCAATATATAGGTGATGTAATTTCTGGTTAATTATAGTAAAGAAAAGTAGAGCTGCAGCTATCGAATATTTTAGTAATCGATTACTCGAGTAATTGGACCCGAACGGCAGACTCACATGAAGTTAGATTTCCTATAGCCCCACAATGAAGGCCAGACTCGGAGAAATAGAGGACAATCGCGGAACAAGCGTGTGTGTTAGCGGACTGCAATGCTTGTAAGAAAGCTAATTATGATATTAACTTTCATCATGTCCCTGAATCTGTGCGAAACAGTCCCGATTTGAGTTTATAAACGAGGACTCAAGGCAAAGAAAATTCTTCGATCATTATTTGTAATCGAGGTACTCGAGGTATTCGAGGAATCGTTTCAGCCCTAAATTAAACAAAGCTTTAAATCTCCATTTTTATGATAATTTGATATTTGGCTGTGCTGATATTTTCAAGCTCATAAGTTAATGAAACTTTCACATCACCAAAGTCATGATGAGTGCGAACCAAAACCGTGCATGTTCATTTCCAATGCAGCACGAGTGTCTGCTGAAAAAAGAGACTTTCTGCTCTTATTTTAGTGGCTGTATTCTCACAGCCAAGAAAACGAACTCTGTCAAATAATCCATGAACTACCTGACTGACTGTTAAAAAAAAACAATAAGCACTAAAGATGTTTTTCATTTTTAAGCAAGAAGCAGAGGATCAAAACATTTACATTTCAAGTGATTTGAGCATCTGGATTGCAGACCAACATGAAACTGGCGCAGAGTGGGGGTAACGGTGCAAGAGTTTTATACGATTCATGGTTTACTACACTAATGCTGGGTTTGCATTTCACAATCAGTGTCAGAGTTTTACTAATCTCGGTCGGTTTGGCGCAGTATGGTCTGAAAACTTGATCGGACTGGTTGGAGGCAGTCTCGTCTTGGCGTTAAGATAAATTCAAACCTGTTGAATATTATCGTCGGGCTTGAGTCTAATTTTAGGCTCAACAAACGAACACATGTTTTGGCTCATAGTCTACCACCCCATTCAAAGCGGGGGTTAATCTGTTAGTTAGCAGGCTATGTCAAAGTTAGTGGAGGTTTAAAGAGCTGCAGCAGCTTCTTCTTCTCTCCACTTTATCACATTAGTCACAAGTAAGCGAGAAAAATATAAATATACTTGACTTTGCATGATACGTTATTGGAGGATGCAGCAGGGCAAACCATAGGGCAGGCCACATATAAGTCCTGGATCTGTGGGATAGAAAGGTCACTGTAATGTTAAATTACTCTAAAGTTGAGATAAAGGCAGGACGAGCGACAGCTGCGGCGATGTAGATGACATGTAAGGCGACTAAAACATACATGAAGCAGCTTTGAGAAAGAGGCAGGTCATACAGCTGCTAAAACAGCAGCGGTGCAGGATTCAGAGGAGGAATACAAGAACTTAAAACCAACGGAAATGAGAGTTTTAACCAAAAGTGATTCAGTGTGAAATGCAGCATTCGCTCAAGATGACTTAACTGGAGCTGTAACACCCACGTTTTACCGATCTGGACTCATCTTTTAATAAACAAAGTGAAACAAACAAACAAAAGTCAGTATCTTAGACTCTGCACTTGTCTGTTTTAGAGAAAAGCTGATCCTGGAGCAGAGCAGGTGAAGATAATAAATCACAACAAGTCTAACCACATGGCTCCTGATGCCAAAGTCAAACTCAGTCAGTGAAGCAGAGAGCGGAGGGGGCGGGGTTTATGAAGAGGAGTGTTTTTCTTCCCCTCTCCCTGTGGGAAAAAAGGGGGCTCAGGACATGCTGGCATCCCTGGAAAACACTGAAAGGGGGCGGATGGTGGTGGAGGTGGTGGTTGTGTTGGTGGTGGTGTTGGTGGTGGTGGTGGTGGTGGTGGTGTGGTGCGTTTTCTTTCTTCTCCCCCCTTCCTCTAACTCCACTCTGCCTTGTTGCCCTCGGCTCCGCCCCTTCCGTGAGCTGGGAGGTGGTCGAGGAGTGTGCGTGTGTGTGTGCATGTGTGTGTGCAAAGTGTCGGGGGGGCTCTTATTGAAGCCGAGCGGAGTGGAACCTCTTGCATTGTCTCCCCTCCTGCACCCCACCTCCCCCTCGCTGCCTCACCCCCTCGTCTCCCTCCTCCTTTCTCCTGGGACAAAGAATGCCCTGAATGCCTGGCGTCTCCTGCAGTGTCAAATAACTAAAGGATAGGTGGATCTGTGCGAGGGCCCAGGAAGAAGAGGAGGAAGAGGAAGAAAAACACAAACCAGAGGATGTTCTAGCTGACTGACTGGATGTTTGTATTTCTATGAACTCATGCAAACGACCCATCTTTTTATCCTTTCAATACCAACAAGTCCTTAAACCTCAAAGCCTCTGCCTTCTGAAAAGACTCATATCAGACTGTTTTTACCCACAACTTTTCACTTTAAATAAACAACTGAGATGTCAAGGTATTTAAAAAAAACAAAGACAAAGAAGTAAAAGTAATGCTGCGTAGGAAGTCGGGATTTCCAAGCTCCTAATTGGAAATTTATCTGGAACGCCCCCCTAAAGTCAGACTCGGACGATCCTCACCAACCCCGACTTGACGACAACGTCATAATCCAAGATGGCAGCGCAGTGCGTCAACAGTAAAGAGTAACAGTGAAAGTTCTCGTAATGTTTTATTTATTAGCACTTCTGTTTTGTTTGTGTGAAATTTAATAAGTGGTTTATGTTGTACTGCCCAACGTCTAACTGAGAACACGGTGCTATGGTGTTTGTGAGAGTAAAATACTGTGTTATGCGTTTTTTACAACTGGTATAGCTAACAGCGGCTAACAGTAGCCGTCCATCTTGTTTTTCTGACTTGTTTACTGGAACGCCGTCAACTTGGGTGTAATGACATCCAACTTCTGAGGTAACTGGAATGTCGCATAAGTCCAGCTATTAACCTTAACTTTATCTTAGAAGGTTTTAGGTCCATAGGTCCTCATGGTGGAGAAGAAGGAAACCTCAATCAATTTAAAAATCAAATTTTATTTATATAGCAGTTCACATCAGTCGTCATCCCAAGATGCTTTCCAAAGAAAAAGAGCAGGTCAAGACCCAACCTAAGATGGGATCTGGCCCATCTCATCTAACATGAGCGACAGTGGCAACGAAAAACTTCCTTTTAACAGGCAGAAACCTTGGGAAGGACCAGACTTATGCTAGACAGCCACCAGGCCGCTGCTGGGCTGGGGAGGAATACAGAAAGATAGGAAGTGAGAGAGAGAAAGGAGTGGAGTGGAGTGCTTCTCCACTGGATAAAGATTGATGGGGATCTCTCACATTGTTTTTAATATATTGTAGTCAGAAAAATATGTTTTAGTTAAATTAACACACACTGCAACTCAATCACACTTTAGCAATCCTGTTCGGTTTGATCGATTATGGGAACAGAATTTCATACCGCAGATTGAAATCCAATAACTCATCAGATGTCTTTAATAGATTAAACAGCTCTGAATTGTTTACTTCCAAAGCTTAACCTCATATTTCACTCGTCACTGCAAACATTTGCCAAAGTCGTCTTATGAAACTACAAGTGTGGTTTTAAAATTATGTCCCGGGAGGTTTGACATTCACATCTATAAACAAACACACACTGCAGCTCTCTACTTCACATGTACACACCCACTTAGACACACTGCAGCCCTATCATACAGGGAATGTAATGGTCGACCGTGCTAATTGCTGCAGCGCTGCAAAGCAAAGAGAACAGCGCGGCCTCACAACCACATGAAATCATCTTATTCCGCAAGCAGTGTGTGCACAAAAAAAGGTCCATCCATCAAGCTGTCATGCTAACCTCAGTCTCTTCCAAAGGTAGGAAGTGAAACTCTCTCTACACACATGACTTCATCCTCACAGCACACCATTCATTACAGGCCGCAGCTTAAGGAGACACACAGTCAGGCTGAAATCAAATAAGTTTGTTTGGTGCCCCGGATGTGCGGTTCCCTCCGCGGCAGGATAAAATGTGTAAAATGACATGATTTGCTTCTCTGACTGTTTGAAGGTGCAGGTACTCTGTGTTTGCCAAGACAGGGAGAATCCATCCTCAGCATTTCAAAATAAGAGGCAGGAACTATTTAGACAGACGTTGTAAACCAGCGCTAGTGAAGTTCTGTAATGTTTACAAATGATTTATAAGACGAGACAAACCAAAATAAATTCTTAAGATACTCTTTATTATTTCTAGTGTAAAGGTGGGTCATGGTCAGGGTTATTTGCTGACTTATAAAGGTTGTGCATATCTCTGAAAATACAACGAAATTTGATTTGGTGCTTGATTACTATGATTTGAGTTAAAGATGATTCATTGAAATAATTATTGGTTTGGTTTGATTCGATGTGAAGTGATAATTGAGTCACAGTTATATACTAGGGCCCCGTTGGGGCACTGGCGGGCCCGAGCCGTGTCGCGCCGCCCCCAACACGACCGCCTCTCCCTACCGATCGCGTCACACTCAAGGTCCAAAGATGGTGTGCGCACTTGTCTGTGGTCATTTACAATTATAATGAATGGGAGGCGCAGTTTCTACCAAAACGTTGCCGCAGACAAACTACATGTCCTATTTGAAAAGGACTGGACCATGAGTGAGGGCACTAACACAGCTAGGATATATCCAAATGGCAAGTTGCTCCTCCTTTCGGTTTTGCCGAGAGAGCGATGTGTTTGAGTCATTGAGCGATGGGCAGGAAAAACTTGACTTTTTCTCCTGCCATGGGGGGGCGCTCTTTTAGGGAGTAAAAATTCCTTCACAAATGTGTTGATGGCTAGACATTGCATCATCCTAGAAAACTTGGAGGCCAGTGAAGACAAAAATAAAAAGTTATAAGACTTTTAAGAATGTGGATTTTTGGGTTATCTTTGGCGCCCCCTAGAACATAAACCGTGGGGTGCAGCGTCAGGATTTTTACAACTTTGAATGGCCATGGGGTGTAGATTGGCCTGAGTAAATTTGGTGTCAGTGGAACGAAAGCTTTAGGAGGAGTTAGCCACATTCCAATGTGTGCGAATCGACCAAAAATGCGAAATAGCCCTTTAACCGTACATTTTACAGATACGCGCCCATTGACTATTTCGTAAATCTTATTGAGAAACACGTGATTGTCAAAGTTTGTTTCAATATGACAAAGCGTACAGGCGTGACACTCAATAATGTGAATTTTCACCTTAGGGGGGAAGAAAAACTGGACTTTTTTCTCCTGCCATGGGGGGGCGCTCTTTTGGGGAGTAAAAATTCCTTCACAAATGTGTTGATGGCTAGACATTGCATCATCCTAGAAAACTTGGAGGCCAGTGAGGACAAAAATAAAAAGTTATACGACTTTTAAGAATGTGGATTTCTGGGTTATCTTTGGCGCCCCCTAGAACGTAAACCGTGGGATGCAGCGTCATGATTTGTACAACTTTTAATGGCCATGGGGTGTAGATTGGCCTGAGCAAATTTGGTGCCGGTGGAACGAAAGCCTTCGGAGGAGTTAGCGAAATTCCAATGTGTGCGGATCGGCAAAAAATGCGAAATAGCCCTTTAACCGTACATTTGACAGATACGCCCGCACTGACTTTTTTGTAGATCTTATTGAGATACACGTGTGTGTCAAATTTTGTGTCATTTTGACAAAGCATACAGGCGTGACACTCAATCATGTGAATTTTTCACCTTAGGGGGCGCTATGGAGCCATTTTGCATTTGATATTTTGGGCGACTTCAGAATATCGAATTTTTCACCAGGCCCGGTCGTCCTGCCAAATTTCATGACTTTTCACCAGTGGGAAGTGGGCCATTTTCCAGTTCAAAGGGGCAGAAAAATAATAAGAAGACTAGGGCCCCGGTGGGGCACTGTCGGGCCCGAGCCGCGTCGCGCCGCCCCCAGCGCAACCGCCTACCCCTCCCGATCGCGTCACACTCAAGGTCCAAAGATGGTGTGCGCACTTGTCTGTGGTCATTTCCCATTATAATGAATGGGAGGCGCAGTTTCTACCAAAACGCTCGCTGCAGACAAACTACATGTCCTATTTGAAAAAAGTCTGGACCATGAGTGAGGGCACAAACACAGCTAGTATATATCCAAATGGCAAGTTGCTCCTCCTTACGGTGTTGCCAGGAGAGCGATGCGATTGAGCCATTGAGCGATGGGCAGGGTTAACTGGACTTTTTCTCCTGCCTTGGGGGGGGGGGGATGTGGATTCTTTTAAGAATGTGGATATTTGGGTCATCTTTGGCGCCCCCTAGAACGTAAACCATGGGGTGCAGCGGCATGATTTTTACAACTTTGAATGGCCATGGGATGTAGATCGGCTTGAGCAAATTTGGTGTCGGTGGGAAGAACACCTTAGGAGGAGTTAGCCACATTCCAATGTGTGCGAATCGGCAAAAAATGCGAAATAGCCCTTTAACCGTACATTTTACAGATACGTGCCCATTGACTTTTTCGTAGATCTTATTGAGATACACGTGTGTGTCAAATTTTGTGTCATTTTGACAAAGCGTATAGGCGTGACAGTCAACAATGTGTTTTTTCACCTTAGGGGACAAGAAAAAATGGACTTTTTTCTCCTGCCATGGGGGGGCGCTCTTTTCGGGAGTAAAAATTCCTTTACAAATGTGTTGATGGCTGGACATTGCATCATCCTAGAAAACTTGGAGGCCAGTGAGGACAAAAATAAAAAGTTATAAGACTATTAAGAATGTGGACTTTTGGGTTATCTTTGGCGCCCCCTAGAACCTAAACCGTGGAGTGCAGCGTCATGATTTGTACAACTTTTAATGGCCATGGGGTGTAGATTGGCCTGAGCAAATTTGGTGGTGGTGGAACTAAAGCCTTCGGAGGAGTTAGCGAAATTTCAATGTGTGCGAATCGGCAAAAAATGCGAAATAACCCTTTAACTGTACATTTTACAGATACGTGCCCATTGACTTTTTCGTAGATCTTATTGAGATACACGTGATTGTCAAATTTTGGGTCAATATGACAAAGCGTATAGGCGTGACACTCAACAATGTGTATTTTCACCTTAGGGGACAAGAAAAAATGGACTTTTTTTCTCCTGCCATGTGGGGGCGCTCTTTTGGGGAGTAAAAATTCCTTCACAAATGTGTTGATGGCTGGACATTGCATCATCCTAGAGAACTTGGAGGCCAGTGAGGACAAAAATAAAAAGTTATAAGACATTAAGACTGTGGATTTTTGGGTTATCTTTGGCGCCCCCTAGAACGTAAACCGTGGGGTGCAGCGTCATGATTTGTACAACTTTTAATGGCCATGGGGTGTAGATTGGCCTGAGCAAATGTGGTACCGGTGGAACGAATGCCTTCGGAGGAGTTAGCGAAATTCCAATGTGTGCAGATCGGCAAAAAATGCGAAATAACCCTCTAACCGTACATTTGACAGACACGCCCGTGCTGACTTTTTCGTAGACCGTATTGAGATACATGTGTGTGTCAATTTTTGTGTCAATATGACAAAGCGTACAGGCGTGACAGTCAATAGTGTGAATTTTCGCCTTAGGGGGCGCTATGGAGCCATTTTGCATTTTATTGTTTGGGCGACTTCAGAATATCGAATTTTTCACCAGGCCCGGTCGTCCTGCCAAATTTCATGAGTTTTCGCCAATGGGAAGTGGGCCATTTTCCCCTTCAAAGGGGAGGAAAAATAAGAAGAAAGAAAGAAAGAAAGAAGAAAGAAAAACCTATACAGGAATAATAGGGCTCTACGCCCGGCTGCTCTGCAGCTGGCTCGGGCCCTAAAGAAGAAGAAAGAAGAATCCATCAGGAATAATAGGGCTCTCGCAGCTGCTTAGCAGCTACGCTCGGGCCCTAACAACAGTAAAAACTAAAGACAAATTAGTCCTTCAAAATAAAATCCTTCTCTAGACTTACTGCCCAACCTGAAGTGATAATGAATTTATGGTACAAAATAATCAAGTCTTTATCCATGTCTGTGCTCAGGTGTCTCACTATGACAGGTAGATTGGTGAGAAATATGAAAAGGTGTATCTGACACAGAAATCTTTGGCTTTGCAAAGCACTTAAAGAAATCAAACTTTTACGGTCTCTGATTATCCAAAATGAAATGAAGATTTCCATCCCTCATATTCAGTCCACTTAACCTCATCTCTGAGGTGAAGACCTAAACTCATGTTGTAGATCATTATATGAAGCCACTTGAGGTAACCTGACTCTGAATCCAGAAAGACTGACGATGCTGAGCTCAGTATCCAAAGTTAACCCAGCTGACTTTGGCTCTGCACATGAGGCAGAACAGGTGAATTGGGTATGTGGATTTAAGGCAGTTGCATGACTAACCCTCCTGACTTGCATCTAAGCAAGGACCAGTAACCAAGTGTCTCACTGTCTGCACTGAAGGGGAGCAAAGCAAAGACTTTTGGAGAATGCGGGCATCGATCCCGCTACCTCTCGCATGCTAAGCGAGCGCTCTACCATTTGAGCTAATTCCCCTGTGTCAAAGCATACTGTCTCAGGGACGTGTGCAGAAATACCAGAGTAGCTGCAACCTTGCAACCTTGCCTGCTTTTGGTTGCAGCTGCAGCAAAGCTAGAGGACAAAAATTCTGGCGTAACTTCACCAGCTTTGAAGGTGCTTGGAGAAAAATTGGTCCAAAACCACATGGTGACTAAATAGACACACCCCTGCAGTCATTCCAATGACTGACTCCGATGTAACTTCACATGACTGGTCAAATCTTGTAACACTTTAATCTTATTCAATTTCTAACCTTCCCTTTTTCAGTGCTGTTCTTTATGCATTCCTGATGACCCTGATGAAGGCCACAAGCTGAAATGCGTCGTTGAATAAAGCTGTTTTCCTGAACTACAAGTGTTGGGAGTTGGAGCGAAGCTTCCTCAGGTGCTGCAAGGACGAGGTGGCCGAGTGGTTAAGGCGATGGACTGCTAATCCATTGTGCTCTGCACGCGTGGGTTCGAATCCCATCCTCGTCGCATTCAGTTTATGCCAAGTGACAACAGCTGCTGCTTTGCA